ACTTGCCACCACGCCAAGAGAGGGAAAGTGGAGTGGGGGGAGAGTCGCGGAAGGTGGCGTGGAAGCCTCACCCCGCTGCTGGTGTCCTTCCTCTTGTGCAGCCGTGTCCTCCGGACCGCCCCGACCCCCGTGCTGTCCAGTGTGCAGCCTACAACCATCAGGAGTTCATGGGCCGGTTCTACCAGTGGGAGCCCTTTATGGACGGTGAGCATCCACCTGCCCCCTCCCTGCCATTGCTGTCCCTGGCTTCTTGGGGGGGGGGAGTTCAGAAGCCCCCTCTGTACTTTTGGGGTGCTTTAGTTCAGGGGGCTGCCTCCCAGGAGCGGACAGGTATGCTCCAAGACAGTTGGGATGGGGGGCTTCTGCAGGAGCTTGGAAAGAGCCCCCCACCCCGGACAGGACCCCCTCCCTTGTGCAGACCTGCAAATCTTTGGGCTGCCAGTGCAGCGGTGTGGTGCTGGCGCCCTCTGCTGGCAAGGGCCGGGATTGCGTCAGGTCTCAGAATGGGGCACCTGCTGCTTCTCTCCCCACCTGTCCATTTGGGAAAGAACCAGGATGCCCGAGTTTGGGGGTCGCCTTCCTCCTTCCCCTTGGGGCCCCTTTTCACTCATCCCCGCAGCCAGCATCGACGCTTTTAGAAGTCCTGGGACTTTTCTTTTTGGCGGGGGGCGGGCAGGTGATATCAGAGTCCTCTGAAATTCTTCTAAAATCGAATGCGTCCCTAACTCATACTTTAATAGTTTATTTGCTGCTCCGCCGGCGGCTTCGGAGACGTCTTGCGCCTTTGCCAAAGGGTCCTTCTTCGCCAGCCGGGCGTGCCCGGGTGTGTCGGGGTGGGCGGGCAGTTTGCAGGGGATCCTGATTCCCTTCTCCCTGGGCCTGTGCTAGTGTGGGGCTCCCAGCGCTGCGAGCTGAATTGCCGTCCCCTCGGTTATCGCTTCTACGTCCGCCACACGGAGAAAGTGCAGGACGGCACGCCCTGCGAGGCCTCGTCCCAGGACATCTGCGTGGCCGGGCAGTGCCTTGTGAGTAGCCGGCTTCTTGGTGACGGAGACGGGTCCCGCTGGCCAGGCTGTGCCAGCAGAGCGTTGCTCGGAAGGGCCTTTTGGGGAGGGAGTTTGGGAAGCACCCGTCTCCCCTGATGCGCGCTGGCCTCCGGCCCCGCAGCATCCCCCAGACCGCTCCTCAGGGGTTTTTGGAGGGGTCTGTTCCCGGCCCCACCCCGTTCCTCCTCTCCCGCTTGGCTTGCAGACCCCTGGCTGTGACGGGATCCTGGGGTCGAACCGCACATTGGACAACTGTGGAGTGTGCGGTGGGGACCACACCACGTGCAGACTGGTGGCCGGCAATTACAGCAAGACGCACGTCCCCATCGGGTACCACCGCATCTTGGAGATCCCGGCAGGGGCCACTCAGATCCAAGTCCGAGAAATGGCCCGCAGCCCCAACTATTTAGGTACGTCCGAGACGTGGCAGAGGCTTCGTCCTGGCAGAATTGCTCCCAGCCTCTCGCTCTCGCACGGCGTGAGACACACCGGATGAGGCCTCCTGGCCTTGTCGAGCTGGCTCTGCCTGGGGGGCCGCAGAAGCGACTGGGGGCTGCGCACGGGCTGACGCCAGCCGCCCTCCCTCCTCCCAGCCCTTCGAACCCACAGCGGCAAATCGATCATCAATGGAAACTGGGCGGTGAACCCTCCGGGGCGCTACGAGGCAGCGGGCACGGTCTTCGTGTACAGCGACCGGGAGGAGGGCGAGCTCCTGACGGCGGAAGGACCCACCACCAAGCCCGTAGAATTGTATGTGAGTAGGGAAGGGGAGCCCCGGATGGCCGCTCTGACTGACGGTTTTTGAAGGGTTCGGAGTTCTGCACGAGGCCCTCCGTGGCACGGAAGCAAGGACGGGGCGAATGAGGGCCAGTTTCCTTGTCGCCCCTCTGCAGATGATTTTCCAGCAAGACAACCCCGGGGTGTCGTACCAGTTCTTCCTGGCTCAGCTGGAGGACTCCCGTCCCGACGTTCATCGGCCTCAGGAGGAGCTGGGTGAGCAGAGCCTTTCCCTGTTGAGCTCCGAGTTCGAGTCTGCCCATGCCTGGGAGCCCCCCCCCATTTCTGTTTTTCACCCCTCCTTGGCTTTCTGCTCCTTGGTTCCTGCCTTTCGGCTTCTCTCTGTGGCGGTCTCTCATTCCACCCCCCTCCTCTCTCCCTCTTGCCACCCCCTACCCTGGCCCCTCCCTTTCCTTCTTTCACCCCTTTCTTCCCCCCTCCCCCCCCCC